AATAGGAATACATGTAATTGTTTTTAAGTACGATTATTTCTTTGTCTCATTCATCCATGGTTTAGCATAAGATAGACTACAAATTGAAGTGTCTCATAATTATAACACAAGACGGTGTGCTTCACATAATTGCATACAATACTACTACAATGACCGATAAAACTAATTTCATATTTACAATATAAAGAGTAACAGTTTTATTTAATTTATATAGATACGTATATTTATTACAATAATCAAGCAAACAACTTCATATGTGTGTCTTAAATACAGTTGTTCATTATAATAAACTATGTTGATGGTGGTGAGTGTTTCTCTAGTTTTACAAAAATAGCGGCAGGTTGAATAACAAGTTTTTCTTGTCGTTTGAAACCTTCTTCAATGTTATCACCAGGCAATATTCGATATTGTCGCAGTAATTGAATTAAACACATTTTTAATTCCATTAGAGCAAATCTCATACCAATACAATTTCGTGGACCAACACCAAACGGCATCCAAGCAATAGGATGACGTTTTACTGCATGTCTTTCTGGTATAAAAAGATTCGGATCTTCAGGACCCCATAAATCCGGATTGTAATGAATAGATAATATATCCGGTTGAATAATACTACCTAAAACAAAACATCAATCAAAAGACATTTGTAGAGTTTAATAATTTTTTTTTATTGAACTAACCTTTTTCGACCTTATGACCACAAACAACTGTAGTCGTATTGCATTCACGTGTCATTGCTTTTACAGTTATAGGATACATTCGAAGAACTTCACGTACAAAGAAATCTAGATAGGAAAGATTATTAGCTATCTCATAATCTTCTTCTATATCATTATTATTATTCCCATTATTGTGATTAATTTCTTCAATAAGTTTATCTTGAATTTCTGGTTTAGTAGCTAGTACATATGTCGAATAAGCAAGTGCTGTTGATGTTGTTTCATAACCAGCCACCATAAAAAGGAAAATATTCGGCAGTAGTTCATCGGATCGTAATACTTTAGGCGTTAAATGATCATCAGCATGATCCTAAAATGATGAACAAAATTTCAATTTATAATAGTTATTTATAATTAACAATTTCAAATATGCTACTCGTCTATTTACCACATATTTTTTCATCTTAAAAAGCATTTGATATATTGAAAGACTCAAAATCTACGATTAATTCCTTAAAAATTGTCATCGTTTTGGGTACTCATAAGAATCGTTTTCACTTTTAGTCTGTTTTGCATCCAATCTATGACTAGTAGCTGAAACTATTTACTCTTTTACGTGACGCCATAGGCGAGTTTGCTACATTGTCCGACACACATCTACGAGGTACTATGTTCAAACTTCAATATCACTAGTCAGAAAATAGCCTTAGATTAGTCATGAATGACTATTTGTTTCGGATCACTCGTCCAATAGTATGCTAACTACGTGGTGACATACATCTGCTCTTGTGTTCAGTTAGTGTGTACGAAGAGCACAATAATCCTATGTCAGGCCAGTCTTCTGTCCAGAGCTACAGCTATTCATAGTCGTAGAGAGGATATTGAACTATTGAGTGTGCCATTATGCAGCATCCCATATTGAATGATAGCTCAAAGACAGAAACATTCTTGCTTCTCGTTCTTTCTCTTTTACATTAGCACGATGAAAAAGACAAAAAAAACTATTTACAAGACGTATTCTTCTTTGAATCATATACTCCATCACATATTTTACTGTGAGCTTTTTTTTTATAGCAACATTCTCCCTTCAAAACAATACAACTAGACCAATTCAAACTTCAATCTTCTTTATACATAGATAGCTCAAAGAAAAGAAATATGTTTTGTTTTTATCGATGTCATTTTCAAGTCACGCGATTATGCTACGTTGTGACTGTAACTACCAAAGAAAAAAAGGATTATAATAATGATTGATCGAATAAATCTTATCCCACTTCCCCCCATTATACAATACGAGTGTCCTAGCTTATCGTCAAAGACATATTCTTAAAGGCATGTTTTTTTTTCAGTTAAGATTGTGTTTTTCTGTGCGACCAGCAAGTTTCAATTTACAACAGAGATATGCTCACTGCATATATTTCTATTCTCAAAATATTGCCGACTACGTCTTTCACATATCATTGCTTTGATTATGTGACAAAACACCAGATGTCCAAATGTCGATGAAGCAAACTATCGAACAGAAAAAACGTAAATAGCGAAAGTACTAAATGTCGAAAAACTTGTTATCGGTACTAAAAAAAAGAATATGAGTATGTATAGTTAAGTTTGAGTTTGGAAGTGATTATCATTTCTCTCTCCAAGCATCCATCAACGCACATCCACACGCCCCTTTTCTCTTGTCTCTTATCGGACTATATAGTCTCAATATGTTAATAAATAAAGATTTCAAAGTCTATTATTATTCGCATATTTCCAACATAATTCTTTCTCCTAATACAAAACATCTAGTTTTCGTGATGCATTTAGCCGAGACCTATGTCAAATATGTTCAACGGCTGTGGGAATAATTTTAATTATAAAGATAGCTTACAAAATAATTATTCACAGAGAGTACTTCTAAGGAATACGAAACGTCACCAGAACATTTTTTTAATAAGGAAATTTATCCTTGCTTTTTTTTATGAGCTATTTTTTATCAAATGTGCCAGTCAAAACTGACACATTTGTCATACGAGAGCACAAGCAAAATAATGCCCATATTGAGCTTAGATACAATCATCTAACAAAAGTACGCTAAAAAATGAATCCCTTAACGAAAATTATTAGAAAATGATTAGAGAATGGAAGATTTCTAATCTCACGAATATTTTCATCTATTCAACTTACTATAACTTTATCATTAGTTGTAGCATCCATCATAAGTTGTAATAAATCTACACGGTTTTTCAAATTAGCTGAAGATTTCATTCGAAGATCAACTACATCTTGAACACGATTTAACAACCATACATCTGGAGATTCTTTAAGATAATTACTCATAAATGGTATCAATTCGACTAATTTGTTACGAATATGTGCCATACCAAAGAAGATATCATGTAGAGGACGTGCTAGAATAGGCATTAAATTACTCAATCGAATAAATAGTAATTCATCAACATCTATCTTAAGAATTGCAGCTGATTTTTGTAAATATGGATTATTTATATCATTTTGCATATCAGTATCAATACCAAATGCACAACGGCCTAAAAAGATATAGATAAAAGTACAAAAGTAATGTCTTATTTAGATTGATCTACTTACAAATAACATCCATAGTCAATCGTTGGTATAAGTCATAAATGTTGATTTCTTTATGCTCATTATTTGTTATCTGTGATATCTTGTTTAACATAGCTCCGATACTTCTATTTACTAATGGAGACATTAATTTAAGTTTAGCAGATGAAAATGTTGGATTAAGAACATGTCGTTGACGACGCCATCTTGCTCCAATAGATCGAAATAGATTAACTCTTCCAGGACTTTCTGTACGTAAAGCTCTTGCTATAATACGTGAATGAAATGATGAAAATTGTTTAATATAAACTTCTTGAAGAAAATCAACATCCGAAACAACATACATCGGTGTTGTACCCATGAATAATCCATAAATAGAACCATATTGACGAGTCCATTCTTGTAATTGTTTTGAAAGTGATTTTATAGACCATAATATTTTATAATGACCAAAAAAGAAATGATGAGGTGGTCCTGATATGCCGAGACGTTTGAAATAATCATAACGATTGTTGATTGACCATATATAGGCAGCAATAATACAAATAACAATAGATATAAGAGCAATGGTTAAAATCATTTTTTGTTTGTTTGAAGCAAACGAAAAAAAACTTTGATACTTGATTTCACTTGCGTACCGTATGTTAGTTGTTGTGCTTCTTATACAACGCATAGTTTATATAGAATGGGGAACGTATTTTATCGCACTTTTCGTATGTTGTCATGTTACCTTTTATACATGTTGACTCAAAAATCGAACGAAAGATATACTTCTTTAGGCAAAAATAAATAAGCCCTGCCAAAGCTTCAATAAATGATATGTTCTGAGTCATTCATTCTACTCTATGTTTTCATTTTTGTTTTTCTGGACAAGATTTCAATATTCTTCGATGAAAGATCCGAGCCATAGTTAACAGATTAATAATTAATATATAGTATTAAATGTTATCGGTGAACCGTCTAAATACAATTTAAGTAATATTCGACTTTATTTTGTTTGAAACTAATTTATAACATGATATCATAATTTAGCGTATGAACTATGTTAGAAAAAGTCCTTGAAATAATAAAAATTTCATGGATCAATTTTAATAAAATAAAATTTATACTGAAAAATTAAAAGCTAGTTGCTTCTATACAATCGCTAATTATTTATAAGAATAAATTTTTTATTCTATAATAATAAACTCGATGAGTTTTATAGATTTGAACAAAATAATTAAATTGATTTCAAACATAAAGTTTAATCGATAAGATCCAATTAATTTATTTGAAAACCAGTTCAATAGTCGAAATATATATTGCACAAATTATATACATTAATTAATCATGCAAAAAAATAAATATAAACAGCATTTATTTTAGGTAACAGTCAGTTTTTGTTTCTAAAAATTATTATCATAAGAAAGAAAAATAAAAAAATGTTATTAATTCCAATCTTGATCGTTTTTTTTTCTTTTTCTATATTGAAGGAAGTAGATTTTAACAAAATTCTATTCTTCCTTACATTTTTCACGAACATTTAAAGCATGGCAACGTTTTTATCGGAGAGGAATATTTTTTCTTGCTTATGTTTGCATAAAACGCACCAGCAACAATCAGTCTTTCATGGTCATAACGAAAGGAAAAAAAAGAAAAAAAAACACACTGCACGAGGCAAAAATCAACATAGATGAAGTAGTAAGGAAGATGAAAAACGCATAGAATAAAAGCAACTAAACTCGACGTTTTATTTTATTTTATGTTGGAAAAAAAGTAAAACAACAATAAATCGACATGGCGACGTCTGCAACGACACGTAAAAACACTGAACATAAACAACCCATCAAAAGTGGTCTTTCACTTGTTTGGCTTGATGATAGTGCTGGCCAAGATCCAAATGCAAAAGAAATATTTCGTACTCTTTTCGAACAAGTATTTATATTTACGGAGAGTACAGCATGTCTTGAATTAGTTGAATCAGCTGACACTGAAACACCTTGTATATTACTTCTTGTTTCTGGTAAATATGGCCAAATGCTTGTGAAAGATCGTTTTCAAGCATTACCTCAAGTTAAAGATATTTATGTTTATTGTTTTGATGTTGCAAAACATAATCAATGGGCACAAAATTGTGATAAAGTTCGATGTGTTGATTCTGACTTCGGTAGAATACTTAAATATATGCAAAGTTCTGTGCAAAAAGCTTTAAAACACAAACAACAACCAATTGATGATCAACAAGAAGAAGAAGTAATGGAAGAAGAAGCTGCAACGAAAGAACCAGAACGTTTTCTAGATGATAATAATTTATATGATCAACTTGCACTTGATATCTTACTTCAAAATTCTGATCATGATGATGGTATTGAAGATTTTAAGAACTATTGTCGAACACATGTAGAAAATAATAATGAAGTACTAGCAGATGAACAACAAAAATCTTTTAAACCAAATATACCTATTAAAGAATGGTATAAACAAGATTTAGTTTTTATTAATTTAAATTCAACTGATTATACTCAATTATGGATACTTCGTTGGTTTATAAGATTATTTCATCAACAATTAACTAATGAATATGAACATTTTATTGAAGTTACAGCAACTATTACTGTCAATTATGGTACATGGTTAACTACCGATGAACTCGATGCAATGAAACATCGTATTGGTGAAACGATTATTTTTACGGAACTTCTTATGACGTATGCAGCTAGACGTAAAGCATTGAATTCTATAGCAGATAAGAAAACAGAACAAAAGAAACATAAAGTTATATTTGAAATAAATGCTAATAAAAGCAATCATCATACTGTTCCTTATGCTGAAATCGGAAATGATGAAGTTTTATTCTGGTTTGGATCTCGACATCGTATTATAAAAATAGAATGTGTTGAAACGCAAGGTGACAATAAAGATTCATATTGGTTAATTGGTGTAAACTTATGTTCAACATTTAATAAAGAACAATCTATTAAAACTTTATATGAATATTATGGTAAAAAATTAACAGAATTAAATGATGTTCACTATGCATTAGGTCGAATTCTTATGTATAAAGGTTTGTATTATCAGGCAGAAAAATGGTTACAAACTAACAATCATTATGAAGATTTAGCTGACTTAGCTGTACGTCAAAATCAATATGAACGTGCAAATCAATATCTTGAACATTTACCTGAAGATTCTAATGATGCTAATTTATTACGTGCTTATATAAATCTATTATCATCAAATGACAATATTGCAAAAGGACGTACTATTTTAATGAAAATAGGTACTGATGCAACAGATAAAATTATTCGAGCTCGAGTTAATATTGGTCTTGGCTTTATTAATCTAGCTGTTTCACAACAGAGTGATCAAGCATTAGACTATTTTATATTAGGAAGTGAAACACTATGTAAAAATTTACCCGATATTCATCCAGATATTGCTAAATCATATATTGGAATTGGTTATGCATATTTTGCTCAAAAGAAAATAAAAGATGCTGAGAAATATTTTCAAATGGCTTTGACAATACAAAAACAATCATTACCATATATACATCCTGATATTGCTAAAACTCGAAGTGGTATTGCTCATTGTTTATCAGTACAAAAACAAACAATTCAACAAGCATTACAAGAATTACAATATGCGTATAATATTTTAATGCATACATTTCCTCGTGAATATAAAAAACATCCAGAAATCTTATTAACTAAGATGGATATTGACAGAGTACGAAAAGGAAAAGAATTACATGTACGCAATACGTTACTGGATTATATTTAAAATTATTAGTAGATATTTATTATAGGGAAAATTTAGAAACATAATCTACGATATAAGTGTAGACATATATTGATTTTTTTAAAATAAATGTGTTAGTAATAAACTATTTACATAAGAACTTCTCTGAAAATTCGCAAATAAGAAATAAGTTGCGTAGACAAGACTATTTTATGGTCTTTAAATATTTTCTTGTATTGTGATCAAATTAGAATCGTATTTGCATGATATTTTAGGTTTGATTTTACGACCCTTTTTGTTTTTTCGTTTTATTGACATATACTCGTACCCTTCTCAAGATATGAGACTACCAATGTTGTGTCACTTTTATACGTAGATAACAGTGGGAATTAAAGAATATATGAAATGCTTTTGCAAAGCAAAGTTTTAGAATATGACCTAACTTCTATGATGATTTAATGCGAATACGAATATTTGAGATTCATAAAAAGATTTTATCGACGTTTCTACTTTGACATATCAAGATCAAGATTTATTTTAGATCATTCTATGAAATTCACATTAATGTAAGTAACCATTTAGTCTAAATCATTCAAATGAGAAAATGCAAATTTTTATGCTGACAAACGAAGATCTCATCGAAAATTCTGATAGGCAAGTTCAACAGTTTTATGTCAGTTGGTAATAATGAATGAATACATCACTTTTTTTTGCTAAAGAATATCGATCATTTTGTGCCAGTCAAAATGAGAGTTCGCATGTGGACAAAAACAGTTACTTGTAAATACATACACCATGACGTCAACTGTTCATCAAAACCGACGACTTGAATGGTTGACTCCCTTTTTTATCAATTTTTTTAATGATTTTTTGATTAAATCAATGTTTTCAGTCTTGAAGAGATCGGTTTCATTTGAAAACAGTCAATATTAACATGCCGTGCTATGATTGTCAAATGACGTTGAGCTTCTTCAAATTGGTGTCTTCTGGCTAATGACTGTTTTTGTGGCGTCATTTTTAATAAATTATCAAACTCGAAAACTAAGCAAAAAAGTCGATGCGACTGGTAAAATCGATTCGAACTGAACTGAAATCAAACATTTTCCTAAGAATTTGAAAAAATTCATGTACTGACGGTGAGCTACAAAAAAAAATGAGATGGAAGAACCACGGTTAACCGGTGGTTTTTGATCGGTTTGAACGACACGAAGAGTCATGTATATTAAAAATAAATATAAAAATGGTATGTAAAATGAAGGCAAATTTTCGATCATCTGAAATCAAAACACATCCACAATAACATCAAAATATTTGTCTTGTTGAAGTTTATCGTTCTGAGTTTTTTCTTGAGCGGTCAGTCGAAAAATAGTTAGTGGACGGTGCGTATTTTTGTGTACTTCTGTTCATTAAAGCGTTTTCCATGTGGTATTGCAACACACTTTATTAAGAAACGCTTGACGCCAGTATTCGTTTGTTGCCGATGACCAATGAGGTCAACAATGACCGATATCAGCAACACCGATACTCATTGAATAGACTCCAGCAATGTATCGATCGTAGCTTGTCATTCGATCACGTGCACTAATTTGATTGCGTATGATCATTTCTTCACTTAACGGTAGTTCCCACGTTGTATTTGTACGGCATATTTCAACATCGATACAATCGGTATAGAACTGAGTCACATTATTTTTGTTGTCATGAATGAGAAAATCATGATCAGCAATTAACATTGGTCCAAAAATAGGATCGCGAGTAAAACTATGACCTCGCCTCAAAATTCTTGTATGCTGAAATTGCCACCGACCTTCTAATGCACATCTAATACATCCAATATATGCATCATAAGTGTGATTGAATGGTATCGCCAGCTGGTACGCATGCCAGCATTGATTTCGTTTTCCCCGTAAAACTCCTTCAACAGTGTCAAGTATGTGCATATGAAGTGGACCATTGCCATTATTAGCTGCAACAATGTGACTTAGACATGGTGGCCATTCAAGCCGTCTAGCAAAAAGGCGATGAGACCATGGATGATTGCGAACGAGATAACCTCCCCATTATATTTCACCGTTGAAACATTCGTAGAATACAATATGAATGTCTGATTCATTTTTCTTCGGTAAATAATCTTCTAATCCGTCGTGTTAAATTAACAACACCAACATTCGCATCAAGAAAAAATATTCAGTCAACAATAGGATTGTCAATCATATACATGAGAACTATACAGTGTTTGCGAAAGTAAGTGTTTGGTATGTTCGTTCAAACATGAGACTGATCGAAATCGATTGAAATAAACCGACAGCTTGGATGACGAGATGTGTAACATTGAAGACTTGCTACCTGCTGTTGAATNTAGGGCCGGGGTGGGTATCTTGTGGCTGACACCCACACCCACGTCCTTCACTTACTATTGATGTTAATAAAGAACATCTTTATATGCCTTATTCATATATTTACTTCGAAGCGTTTTTTGCGCGCAAGGGTCCTAACTAGCAAGTATCCTAACGAGCAAGTGTTCTTTCGAGCATCTGTCCTCACGAGCAAGTGTCCTAGCAAGCAAATGTTCTAGCGAGCAACTGTCCTAGCGAGCAAGTGTCCGCGAGCAACTGTCCGACGAGCAACTGTCCTGCGAGCAACTGTCCTAAATCCGTTTAACTATATGTATTGAACCATTCTAGTAGATGCCCTATGTAGAAAATTGTGCTACTGATCGATATTCTATCTATTTATTTTCGAAATTCGGCAGTTGTTTTGAGTTGAGAATTCGAAAGTGACATTTTAATATGCAATTTTCTGTAATTTTACTCAAGTAAAATACTAGAATACCACTGAGTCTTGTACGAGAGACAAGCCAAAAACAATAATAAACACCTCATCGTGCACTGAAAAATGTACTTGTCATACAAGGCCTAGCAAAAATGCACGATTATAAAACAAATGTGACAAAAAATATTTCGTTAAGAACGAATGAGAGTTGAAACAGTAGCTGATAACAAGTGAGAAAGTCGAATCCTCACAAAAAGAAATGTGTCGCATTTTAATGTCGCTACCGATTGTGTCGCAAGCTCTAACCTGAGAATGTGTCGTAGCCTGAATATATATATTGTATGTTTGGTGGTGTCGCAGCTATTGTTTGCACTCATTAAGTCTTTTTTTGTTCTGTACGTGCCACTACATATCAGTGATATAAGCAAATGACTACAGTCATTGAGTTTTGATTTTACTTTCGTGATTAAACTCGAAGCAATCTGATTGAGATTAAGTGGGCTTGAGGTGACGATAGACTCTCAAGATTCCGTCATCTAGAACTGATTGTAATGGAAGGACAATATGATAAATATTACGAATTCAAATGTATTAAGAAACAGTAATGGTTCACGTCTTGATTGAGAACAGACTCGAACCGTGTTCGAAAAATATGTCGAATCCGTCGCAGAAAATGTCTCGTAATATCAAGATACAGAATGTGTCCCTCCGTGCATCCTTTGCCACTGTTCAATGTGTCGTACAACTTGTTGCAGAGTTCGTCACATGTGACACAGCTTATTTTAGTGTGTAACGCGAATAAAGAATATAGCAGAGCTCCAACTAGGCCATTACGCTTGCCTACCAGCCTATAACAGGTACAGGAGTAGACAAACTATCCGACCTGTATAGTTTTTTCTTTCATATATTTGTTTTATCTCATAAATCGAATATATTGTCTGCAAGTGAATGCAGCGTAGTTAACTTAAAGGATGTCATTTTATCAGTTCCACCTAGGTGGAGCCGTACGATATGTGAACAGTCGTATGAGATTATTTTACGGTTCTTTTTTCGATCTAGAAATGTAGGGCGTAAATGGCACATCATATTGTGGTACAGTACGGTGAAGTGAACCTTATTCGTTTGCAGTGCTACGCAAAAGTACCTGATTTGTACTGTATCCACGAAACGTCTTAAATCTATGCTTGGACACGATGTGGTAGTACACAATAGGTTACTTTGATCGAGCCCTGATCTAAAACTGCGCAACTCACTATGTACTGATGTTTTCCTAAGCTCATCATTGTGAACATAGATTATTTCCTAATGTTTAGTTGTAGTTGTGATTTTCTCTGCAACCACATCCATAAGCACACTTAATATTCTGAAATCCATGAATTTTCTGAGTTTCCACGTTTTGAACGGTAGATATATCTCAGACAGTACTTTTTACTTTGCAAGCTTTTAAACACCCTCATCATTGTCGAAAAATGAAGAAGTGCATGCCTGTTTAACGTAGATGCGCTGCAGAATGAAGAGAAACGTGGAAGATAATGATCACATATCGTCCTGGTGTATTTGATATTGAGCATACGACAATAAACAAGTGCACAACAGTTCGCATGTGAAGAAAGATAAGAGAATGCAAGGTTCACTTATGATATCACATACTATAATAGAATATGACAATGAGTTCTAGCAATTATCGTGTGTGGCTCTTGAATGGCTATGATCGTAATGGTAATGACATTGAAGAATAAAACATATTCGATCAAAGAATTAACACAGTGAATTTCATTCATATTTGTTCCAAGAGCCTCCGCAATAGTAGCAGCACACTTAACAGCTCCTAAGATCCCATAACAAAAGAACAGTTAAACCCTATTTCTATTGCATAAATAATACTATTAAGACTGACAACGTAATTGTTTTGTTCTTTTTCTATGTCAATTGATAAGTAGGAGAGATAAATATCCACAGAAGTCAAACTTTTTCACAATGTTTCGCAGATATGGATTTGGTTATCTGTAAAGCGAAGAACCACGTTCATACAAGTCATAAAGCGAACTCGAACGTAGTTTACAGTCAAAACGAGATCTAAAACCTAGTATTTACAGTCAAAACTCAATTTTTTGCCCAATGACCGCTATTGAAATCGGTACCATTCAATAAAGAATGAAATTTTACACTTCACACAATGAATTAGAAATCTAAAACAAGTCAGAAAATGAATTCAGGCCAGAAAAAAAAACAAATATGGGGCTAATTTTACTTATGTATTTATAAATGCAATGATTATTACTAAGAACCGATTGAACTTCATCTCTTCACGCATTCTTCGTTATGTTAAACAGACCTTGATAAAGAATTTTGCAGCATTGATATATATTTTCAAATCAAACGATATTTATTAGAATCTCTCTCACAATGTGAAGACGATTAAAAATTTTTAAAAACTAGCAGATACATAATCAGGATGAACATTTCTTTACATTATCGTAAAATCTATTGTGTTCCTTTAGTGTATGAAGAAGCTATACCGTTATCACTATGCATCATTTGACAATCAAGAAAAACTCGATTCGTTTGACTAAATCTTACAAATTAGACACGCTAAATAGTACCCTTATAAATCTAGATCAAATTTACGTCATTCTTACAACTTGAAATTGTTACCCTATTACTGGTAAGAAGCTTTAGAAGATTGCAATAATAAAATTTTTTTGTCAACAATATTATATAAAATAAATCTATACTGTATTTTATTCAATTTAATCGATAATTAAATACAAGATACACTATACAAACAGTTAGTATGACATATCGCAAAAACAATAACTGAATCAGTTTTTTTTCATGTACAGAAAAGATACACAGTCACTAATTATTGTGATTTACAATTATCCCATTTTAAACTTTATTGTCAGAAATATGTTTCTTTTTCATACAATCTTTCTATAAAGCCATTCACTACAACAAAATTATTTATCACAAAAACACTGAACGCTATTTTATTTCATTTGAATGAATAAAATCTAAGACTTAATCGTTTTTTAGCATTAAAAAAAATTGAAGTATTTAAGTAATTATTAATCCATCTATAATATATCGTGTATCATCATCATGACAATGTTTAATCCATAAATAGAAAAGCCAAATACAACTTGGTACAAGAGTAACAATACTAACAAATAATATAATGAATAAAATTAACGTATCAATACAAATAGGTTGTACAACTGTAAATGGATTTATACTGTAATTCATTTTCGAACAAAGTCCATAGTTCTTATCAAAAGCATTCCAGCAGGGAGAACATTTTTCACATATTCTAATGGATGATTCTATAAATAAATGAAATTTTAATTTGAATAATATATTGAAATTACTCACTGGTATGATTTGAATCACTGAAGCAAATAGGAGTTAATACAATGACTATTATATTTAATAACAAGAGACGCATCATTACAATCGCCTTTTTTTTAATATGTATGTATAGCATGGTAAAGATTGTTTTTATCATGAAATATTTGTTGATAACGTGATATAATTTCAATAATTTGTTTTCTTTTTCCTATGTTAAGTCAGTCGTAAGAATGATTATTGAACCAAATGTCATTAATGAAACTAACATGTATTCCGAAATTATTAATTACAATCGTTGAGAATTTATTGAAGAACAAATTAACTTTTTCATCAAACAAAATTTCATCAACAAATAGTGACATCTATTGAATAGTACTCTATATGATCATTCGACAATGAATAGATATTTTATGGATTATAGATACAGGCAAACATATTGATCATTACGTATTTGAACTTGAATAACCTAAAATCTATTGTCAGAAATTTCTAACTTCAGTTTCTTTTAGATAACTTCTATGGCACTCGTGCGTTATTCTCTATCTTTATCACGATTTGTTTTTCCATCTATTATTTCCAATCGAAAAGCTGCAACAGCACCAGCACCTTCCTCATCACCTGTCGTCGAACATACAACAAATCCACCGATACAAAAACAACAAGAGCAAAATGTATTAACAAATTTATCACCATATAAAACTGTTCCCGGCAAAGTTTACGGTGATAGTAAAGTTGAAGTAGCTCTAGCTCGTTTGGATGATGTACAAAATTTAATTCGACGTGGTTCTATTTGGCCACTTACATTTGGTCTTGCATGTTGTGCTGTTGAAATGATGCAAATGGCAGCTCCACGGTTAACATTTTTTAAAATTTTCTATTCTATAATTTTATTTGTTTTTCAATTAATTTTAGTTATGATATGGATCGATTTGGTGTTGTCTTTCGTGCTAGTCCACGTCAATGTGATCTCATGATTGTTGCTGGTACATTAACTAATAAAATGGCTCCTGGTAAATAAAAATATCTTTTTTTTTTGATTTACCATTTTTTATTGAAGATGTATAAAAGGTAGTGGACAAAAGTTTAGCAACAGTGTATTTTTTATTTTTATCTTTTAGATAATGTTAAGTAACTAACTTAAATCCAGAGAGTGATTTTAATAGCCAATGGATTTTTCTATTAGATGTATTCTAAATTAAATGAACTATGATGATAAGGTTTTCAGAAAACAGTACAAAATGGTTTTCACATCCCAGAAGACTGTATTTTTAACAATGTCATTTTAAAGAACGTGAAATTCAGTACAAAATGTGAGGTTGCTGCATCTACTACGACCTTCCCTTAAAAAGTTAAAAGTATTAAAAAAAAAACACTTTTTTTGTGTGATATTTTTAACTTTTTAAAGGAAGGTTATAGAAAACGCAGCAATGCCTTATTTTGTTCGAAATTGTTTACTCTCTAAAATAGTATTGTTATAAAATAATCTTCTGGAGTCTGAAAACTATCATGTACGATTCTTTTAGAAACCTTACCATCATAGTTCATCTATGAAATCTTGGTATAGAAAATCGAATTGGCTATTAAAATCACTATCTGAATTTAAGCTAGTTGCCTAAAATTATACAAAAAAAAAATCAAAAATACATTGTTTATTAAACTTTTTTGTTCACCACCTTAATATAGAAAAATAAATTGATTCTATTTATGTTGGTATTGGTACTTATTTTTTTCTAGCTATTCGACGTCTTTACGAGCAAATGCCTCATCCTAAATGGGTTATTTCTATGGGTTCATGTGCTAACGGCGGTGGTTATTATCACTATTCATATGCAGTGGTTTGTTGAAAACTTTTTTCTTTCTATAAATAAGCTTGGAGAAAACATTGTTAATAGGTACGCGGATGTGATCGTATAATACCAGTTGATATCTATGTTCCTGGTTGTCCACCGAGTGCCGAAGCATTGCTCTATGGTGTTTTACAATTGCAACGAAAGATTAAACGATATGATACATTGCAAAAATGGTATCGAAAATAAATAAACTAATTGATAACTTTATCCTATAAGCCTAATATTCCAGTTTCTCTTTTTTTTTACTGCACCACTTGTTGTTTTTTTTCTTGCCAGCGTTACTTTCTTTTTGATTTTTGAAAGCACGAGTGTAAATAGAATCCTTTGTATTCGCTTTTCATCTTACACAATGACTCTCAATATGCTCAATTCAAAAATCAAACAGTTTATTTACAAACAATCACATAGAATAGAATTTTCAAACAATTATGTCAACTAACGTACGATGCAAAAGTAATTGCACAAAATATCCACCCTTACATTTTTTCATAGGGTTCTGAAAAAAATTTTGTTTACCATTTGATAGAAGATTTTTCTCCTTTTCCGAACTATGTATGACTTATTTTTATTAGACACTCATAAACAGAACGTCATGAGAAGAAATAGAGACATTCTAAAGATAGTTATGCACTTTCTCTATGTTTCATAATAGCGACACAAAATGTCAACTAGTATATCTATTCTGCAAACACATGTTAGAAGAATAATATTGTTATCAGTTGATAGGAAATTTTCTCTTTCGAACTCTATATGATCTGTTTTTATCACGTGTTCATAAACAAAATGACACGAAGGAAAGAAGAAATGTTTGACCTTTTCATTGTTTTACAGGAAAAGTCCTGTAAATCATTTGAAATATGCTGTTCAAATGGTAGTAGATATATCAGAGGTTGCTACCTATTAATGAAACAGAACAGAAATTTTATTTTCCATTAGAAAAACCATGCAGAACAAAAAAAATCTTTATTTAACAACGGAATATAGTCTTTGACACCACATTTGGCACAAGTTCTTCTGAATACCTTTAGCAATAGCCTATAATGTAGTTTTACTAAATTGTTTGACTTTAGAAGCCAATACATTTAAAGTTATAGCTTTCGAAATTATTTTCATATACTTTTTCTCTCAATAAAATCAAAACTGTTTCAATTAGTGTTTTAATTGATTTACAGAATTTCTCCAATAAATCAATGAAACGATCAAAGATGTCTTTTCTTCTTTCCTTCGTATCATTTCATTTATGAACATGCGACAAAAACAAATCATATAGAGTTCGAAAGAAAAGAAAATTTCCTATCAACTGATAACAATATTATGCTGCTAATACGTGTTTGCAGAAGAGATAACTAGTTGACATTTTGTGTCGCTATTATGAAACATAGAAAAAGTGCAGAACTATTTTTAGGATGTCTCTATTTCTTCTCATGACGTTCTGTTTCTGAGTGTCTAATAAAAATAAGTCATATATAGTTTCAAAAAGGAGGAAAATCTTTTATCAAATGGTGAAATTTTTTTCTAGCATCTTGTCTATGAAGAAATATGAAGGTCGACAGTTTGTGTCATTACTTTTGCATTGTACTTTATTATAATATCTTTATCAGACATTTTTTTAACAATCCTAATAATATAATTTGTGTTAAATATTTTTTCTAAAGCTTTTATCAAAGATTTCAATGGACCGAAATGTTTTCTTTTGGATAGAAAACCATGGACTGGACCGGGCTGAGTCGATACTGGGATGGGCTGAGTTTTAAATAAAATATAAAATTTTCAAAAGATGCTGAGTATTTCGACTGAATATTTTTCTTCAACAATCCTATATAATTCTCACATTGGCTAAAATTTGTATGCTATGAAGAACAAAAGATGATATTATCGTCATCTTATGAAGCTTTTTGTTTAAATTCGACAACATGTTCTTGCCTAGCTTTCCTCGTTCATCAACAATTACAGCATGATCATCAATTACTTTTTCTTCTAATTCTATTGTTACTGAACTTGCTCAATCGTCAAGTTTTATTAACACTTTTTTTCAACTATCAGTACTGGTTCATCATTGCATACAAAAAAGTGTACATCCAAACCGATAGAATTTCTTTTGCAACAACAATCATCTATCTATATTCTCTAATAAAAGATGAAAAAGCAAACATATCCATTTGTTGAAAATTTTTGATTTTTCAACTAAAAAACGAGAAAATACTAGTGAATTCAAGAGAATTGAACATTTTGAAAATTTTCAATTATGTTGTCAAGCATTTGTTTATACATCAATTACTGTACTCGAAATATACTTGTTCATTCATGTTTTAATAATTTATTCAATGTAATTAGATGAATGGAGCATAGACAGGCCATTTTTTAAGAAAAAAAAACCGTGGGTCGACTTTCTTTGGTCCCATCTGTCACAGAGAGATTTTTCTTCTAGACTATGTAGCTTGAACTTTAATTCTTTTTTTGCAATATAGATTCTCATGTAAGAAAATAAAGAAAAAAATCTGATTGTAATCGTTTTTTTTCTCACTAAAAATCGATAAAAATGGTACTGTTTGAATACAATGTAAGTATGATTTTTCAAATTTGAAGATAGGTTTCTTTTGATCGAAAGAAAAGTTTCAAGCCAATTGAAATCTATCTTTAAAGATGAAATTTCAGAATTAAATTGCGCCATTTTAATCGATAAGCGATTTGATTTTGATTTCTAACATGGGTTTTGCACCTGACAATTGATAACAACCAGGAATCGTTATTATACGAACGTTTTAGAAGTTGCATTTAATCAATAGATATAAGTAGAGCATTTATTCAGTTCAACGATATTCCTCAACCACACACAAGGCCGAGTCTAGTATCAATTACATTAAGTAGCATGAGTATTACTGGAAAATAATAACCAATCTAACGCTTTGAAATTGATCAATGTGCATTTTACTCATGAAAGCTTATGTTAATAAATGATAGTCTTCAAGAAATTCGTGTATCCACGAAAGCATCTTGTTCTTTTGGTTCAACCAGTAATTCGACTTAGTCTTGCCTTATTCAACTCGTGATCACTATGATAATACAGCTTTTACAATGTTCTAATAAATGATTGCAGCGACTGTGAAGTTTCATCGTGCAGAAATCCTAGTTGATAAAAGAAATATACTTTTAATAGTGCAATTCTGAGCTGGACTGAGTCATTACAAAGTGGCCCGATCCACATGGTAAGCACTAAATCATTAAGATTCAATGTTCAATAAAAATCTTGTTGTTTTATTGATAAATCAAAAGTAATTACAAATATTAGATTCGTTTTTGTTACATAGTATTCATTGTGTATAATTGTTATGAAGAAGTATTCTATACATAGTCAATATTATTTGTTACAGCTTTCGTATATGACAATCGTTTACGATGCGAGTCAATGATTGTTGTGCATGGCTATCCTGCATGATCCTATATTGTGTCGTAAGCTAGTCATAACTTATGATACATTTGTTGAGCATGATTTTTATCTTTTGTGTTCAGCTGAGAATTCGAAAGTAAATGATTATTTAAAACAAAGATAAGCTATGTAATAAGTTAAAATATAAGTTTTATTTTTTGTATTTACGGGGTGATGGTAGGAGAGACATTAATAGAAAATCATCTTTCTTTTCTCTGTACAAATGTTTCTATGGAAATGATAGTAAACATAATCACATATGAAATTCTATGGTAATTCGCACTGATTGCATACAACATAATGAGACATGGTCATTATTAATTCTATATAAGATGACAGTTGTAATGATCGATACAGTCCAAAAATGGTACTCTATACCGTCATTTCATACGATTTACGGTTGTAAATATCTCTAAATTGAGGTTTGTTAGACGCTATATTGCGATCATATCTTATCATGCTGCACACATTTGATAACAGTCTGAAAATTGAATATTTACCATACAGTGAAATACGTCCGCAATACTATAACTGTTAAACGGCGAAAACAACCACTCAATACAACCGTTTACGATCTGCACTTATTTGGCCTGGACAAAGTTAAGTAACACGATCGCTTTAACAGTTATCATTTTTTTTACCTTGAATTACTGGATATCTAGTAAAACATATTCATGAATTGCATTTCAATCTTTGACACGTACTTATTTTACACGGACTGGAATGGCATTTGTTATATACTCGTATGTTTGATGAAAGTGATGAAGTTAAAAAAGATAAGATGAAGCATAAACTCACCAAATAGATGAATACAAACATACATAAATTGCCTACTGCATGTATAAAAAGTGCAATAAAATATATGATGATGTGAAAAAATATATATTTGTGTTATTGATATGTAGTATGAAAATCTAGTTCTTGTTGAGAGTATCAATTTAAATTCAGGGGTTAAAAACAAAAACAACTTGTCTTATTTTGTTGATTTATCTAATCATCCTTTTGCATTTGAGCAATTAAAATTTGATATGCACTAATGTGATATGAATATGTTCGTTTATACTCTACAGATGACGAAAGATATTAGTTTTCATCAAAGAATTTCTAAATTCAGTCAATATTATTCATCTGTTACTTCTTCGTATTATATATTGGTTTTAGAGTAATATTGTTGAAAAATATCCCTGAAATTATTATTCAAGTTTCCTTTGTTTTTTTTGACTAATGGCTTCTATGTTTTTCTTTACTTTTGGTGTGATTTTATCTCTGTAGTTTTCAATGTCGCCAATTATACGAACAATTTTTTTTTAATTAAAAATGCAGAAGAGTATTGATACTAAAAAATTATTTATCTTGTCATACTCAATTAATCATAAAGTTGTCATTTGTTGTAAACATGTCTTCACTCAACAGCATTCAAAATAAAATATCAAGCCACAATCAATCAAGCGTATCTCGAGTGATAGAAAATGCCTATTTGATCTTTCGGATAAAAGTCACGTAAAAAAAAAAGTTAAGTATTAATTTTCATGGCAGTTTGCTCCAATAAAATGTACTAAAACTAAGGAAATGCATATAAAATTGATTATAAACATTCAAACCATTTTCGATTGATTTTCGAAAAAGAATGAAATGATTCAGTGGCGATCTTGATGATTTTATGTTCGAAAAATAGAATACAAAAATTAGTTTGAAAACTAATATAGATAAAAGAATTTTTTATTTAATTTCTTCTTGACTAAAATAATTTCACTTTATTATATTAAATAAAGAAATTATTGCTTATAATTTATTAAATGAATTTTCCTCATTATATTTCTATTTTTAATTTAACAGCTCCAGCGTAATAACAATTTGAGTGGTTCTTTGTCTAATTTATAATTTAGTCCATAACATTGACCAATTATTAATTTTTTTCTTTGTTTTTCAGTTTTTTCTTGTTTTGTAAAATTATGACAATTATTTTGTGTCTAAAAGAAACTTACATATCGAAATCAATCAAAATATATATTGTTTACGGATCAATTCAAATAACGAAACAATAAAAAAACCAACATTAACTTTATCAGATTGCATGTTATATCGTGTAAGTCATTCGCATGAGTAGATAAGCCGTGACAAGTCATATTTTATTTATATCGTTAACGAATTAAATAATAATACTTTACAATATTAGAGACTATTCCATTTTATCATGATGACCTTTATAACTGACTATGCTTGCGTCTTTACTAATATAAATTTTCGATTTGGTGCATGCGTTGTGAATCCTTCTAGATTTTTATCAACTTCTGTTACTGCAATATTGTTTTTTTTCATGGTTCATATATAATCATCACAGTTATATCTATGCTTTATATGTTATATGTTATTGCCGTCTTTCAATATTTTTAAAACTCACTTTAAATGTTTGTCAAAGTACATATAAACAAAAAGAGTAAGTTGATCACTTATAGAAAGTTCGTTTCATATTACGATAAGTACAACTGATGAAAAACAAAAATATTTTGTTTGTAGGTGACAGCTCTAATAGTCTCATTTATTGTACAAAATTGAAAATGATATATAATGTTAAAATTTAATCAAGAAATAAAGATTATTGACAATATTTACATAAAGATTTGAAGGTGAGAAAAATAAAACAGCCAAACAATTCAGATGATACTTTATAAAATTACAATAATCAAAACAAATATCAGAAAGTATTACTTATCTTTGTAACTAATCATCACATCTGTGATTCTTTTTTTTTTCAATCACACTTTCTCTCTCTTTCCTTATGTCAGTTGAATTGAAAAGAAAAAGAAAATACTATGCATCAAAGGTATGCTTAGTAAGTGAAAGGCTCACTATTTGCGATATCTTGATTATATCAAATGATAACGGAATGGGGGACACGACACTTTGTTCGGTTTTGCCAAGTATAATTTGTTTCCGATGTTTATTTAAAATACAGTAAGTATACTCGAATGTTGGATGACCACAAAAAAAAGCATAATCGCACTTCCTATCGAAACTTGATCATTTATTATAAAATGCACTAATTACTTTCTTTTTACATGACCTTGATTTTAGATTAAATAACCATAGACAAAGTAAATATTTATTTATAAAACTCATTCACTTTTTATAGATAATAATTGGACTTTATTTTTGTGAACTTCTTTGTTTTTATATTTGTGCTATCTGTCACACTTTCGTGACATATGCCTTTTTTTTGACACAAGAATATATCATAAATAACTGAAAGATTAAAACTTATGAATCTCTTCACTATAATTCAATGAAAGGGAGGAATTTTCGTTTGATAGAAGCACAAATCTATCTAAGTATAGTTGCTTGGTATATCGATCACACAAAAAAAAAACTCTGCGTTATCCATATGAAGCGACCTATAGATAATTTTTAGTTCTCACTTAAGACACTAGTAAAACAAAATTAAAATGAACATTATTAATGATATCACGTTGATACATATAGAATGAACTTTTTGGGCTAACTCGTTTAAATATTAATGGTTAGAATATTTCATATGTTCAGACAGACATGCAACATTGATTTTCAAATTAATCCTTGACAAAGTCAACTATGCAACTGTTTTAGTGGCAGAGGTGCCTGAAAGGAATCGTGGGGTGACTCCCTCAATCTTGAAAAATCTTCGTTGTTTTCCAGCAGAGTTTCAGAATTTTATTGTTTTTTTGCTCGCCGATTTCCCCAAAAAATGTCTGAAAAATCCCTCAAATTCAATTAACTTTATCAGCAATCTCCTAATCGGCCTTCTGAATCATTGATTCTTTCTCTCCACTCTCCCCTCCCCCCCACCGCTCCAATCCTAACGGTTTTGGGGCACCTCTATTTAGTGGATGCAAACTCCCATATTAAAACAAGTTAATTGTAAAGTTAGATTCTATGTGCACCGATGTGGTATCATAAATAAAATTTATTTCAAACTTCTCTTATTATCATCTAAAGTGAGAATCAAAAATAACGTATAACGTTGTCGCGTATGGGTTTTTCTTGACTTGAGAATAGATGACACTGTTTTAATAAACTCAATAGTATCACTTTAAAGAAGGATTTTTTCATATGATCGATGTAAGAAAATAGTAAAACTTGACATAGATTTGTGTCAATAAGCAAAAAAGAAATGCGACCTTTTGATTGAATCGAAATGTAGATATTCTAAGTTTTGATGTTTTAGTTATTTATGACATAGTCTGCCTGAAATGTCTTGTCAAAATATTTATTATTCAAAATGTCTCTATTAAGTGTATGCATAACACATATAAACATGTAAATGTATGGAAAATAAGCATTACAAAAAAAATAGATCGAATCAAACGCTTTCAATAACCAGCAACTATATTGAATAGACAAAATATATCATTAAGTATAATTATTCGAAAAAACATGCTTATATTCTGGTTTTGTCTTGCATTCAATACGATTTAACAAAAAATGATTGAGAAAAATGAATGGTTAAATGCATTAAATTGCACATGTACAAGTCCAGTACTTGTTTCTTGGACGTTATTTACGTACTTTTAACTCGTAAGTATTTTACGAGAGGGAAAAATAAAGACAGACACTATATAACTATGACTCGTACTTGTTTTCTCGTTTAATAATCATTCGAGACTGAAAACAAGTAGCAAAATAAGGGGGTAAGAAGACTATGCAAAGGAAAATATTGACGAAATTTAATAGTTGACAATATAAAAATTCTTATTGAGATTTTCGCTTAACTATTTCTTTTGTTTTGATATTTGACCTCGAAAATAATTTGATATATAAGATGGATGATGACATTTTATGAATAAACGATATTAAAAGTAGATATTTATTGTAAGATCATTTACGAATCATTGGAGAGGAGTAAAACATTAAAAAGAAGTCAATAAAAATTTTCTTCATTGGGTTTGTTTTTAAAACTTTTATCAGTATAAAAACAGTATACGTACACACTGGAAGTAATATACTGTAAGATATGCGTAATTACATATTGGATACTCGAGATAGATTTTTGACTATTTGATTGATGTGAAAGGCTTTTATGAATCAATCTTAATAGATTGATCTCATAGTAAATTCATTCTTACTTCTTTTTATTTGTTTTTTAGATTTTTTTTTTGCTAAGTGACTGTCAATTATGACAGAAGATTTCATTCCATCTGCGTCTATTGATAGCCATTCAATGCCAATGGAAGTACAAATACCATTACTAGAGCCATCTTCAAATGCAAAAGATTCTAGCCATAATAATGATCTTAAATCTCTTCCTAACAATAATAACAAAACAAGGTCTTCATTCGTTGACGAAAAGATACCTGATCCACATATTGTTCAGTCTTCACTTAATGGATCGAAGGCATTAAAAATGTCTGATAGATTATTTGCTGTGTCTCAGTTAAAAACATTAGCATTCTATCAAGCATTACTTAGTGAATTTATTGGAACAATGTTACTTGTATTAATAGGTTCATCTATTGGTTTACCAGTTGCATCTAAATCCGTACCTGATCTACATGGCGCTCTTGCAGCTGGTCTTACTATTGCTACTATTATCGTCGGATTTGGTCATACGAGTGGAGCACATATTAATCCAGCTGTTACAGTAACATTTCTTGCTGCATGTGAAATTGATTTTCTACGAGCATTCTGTTATATTGGTATGCAGCTTCTCGGTGCAAGTTGTGGTTCGATTTTATTAAAATCGCTTGTACCATCACATGCACAAGGTAATTTAGGTATGACAATGATTACTACAGGTGTTTCAGTTTCACAAGCATATGTGGTAGAATCTATAATAACTTTTATATTATGTTATACTGTACATGCTATTTGTGATAAACGACGCGATGATATTGGTGGTTCAAAAGCTTTAGCCGTTGGTTTAGCTGTAGTAGTAGGTTGTTTATTCGGTGGACCTTTCACAGGTGGTTCAATGAATCCAGCTCGATCATTTGGACCTGCTGCAGTAATGAATTCATGGGAAAATCATTGGGTTTACTGGTTTGGACCATTGACTGGCTCTATTGCAGCGGCATTAGTTTATTCGCATATCTTCAAACATCATCATCAATGACGCATATAATCAATCCTGTCCACATTTAAATAGTGACAGAATAAAGTATAATTAAAGACAAAAACAATTTGACAAAAGTCATGATCTAGCTTACATTCCTTTATACTTTCCTTTCAAGTTCACCGAAGAACAGTCATGCTTAGTTTTGGGTTTATTTTTTCCTTGATTTTTAATTAAATAATTAACATCTGTAACTTTATTTTACTTTTTCTTTTTTTTGTATCCGTTGGTAGTAATTTATTCTTTTTCAGAAATCTCATTTTCATTGATTGTACGCATCTTTCAGTAGAAATATGCAGAAATATATGTTTTCTTTTAGATATATTATTAGTATCAAGTAAAAATTTAAATCCTATTTCGTTCTTTTTCGTTAATGATCTTACTATGGTGTTAGCTAGCAAAATAGGTGTAAGCTATGTTGAGTAGTGCCTAGATCTTAACAAAAGACTCAATAAATTTTTCGAAAATTTGGAATATTACTTATTACTAAGCGTTCAGTCGATTAATTATGAGGAGATGATGTGGTTGACTAGAGTGGCTAATGAGGCATAAAACAACGCAAAAGATTGGGCAATGTATAAATATGATTATGAAATTTCAATGAAATAGATGTACTTCTCTAGAGTGAAGGCATACTGTTTTTTCTAGTTACGTTCTTTCATTCTTTACCTAACTCTTTTCTCTCTATTCATATGAAATCAACAATCGAAACTGTCTCTCGACTGCTACACTTGACTGAAACGAACTTTCTTTCATCTAGAATGAGCCGATTATTTCTATGCGTTTGCATTGAGCGAGATATCTATAGAAGATAGATGTTTTAGATAATGGAATAGACATTTAAGGAGTCTATCGAAACTAACAGATGAAAGGCTATTAATGGAACAGATTAAACTAAATTTAAGGTCTGCCAACCTTCCAAAACTGATCTTGTGCAAGGTATATTTCAATTGCATGAAATTTTCAGAATGTATTCAGTGTGCGGTGATATATATCATATGTCAACCAAATATTCTTTGTGAACCTTCACTCGATATATTTAATTTCTTTTTGTTTCAAAGAGTATGTTTGAATGTAAGGTATGATGCAAGCCTTCTTTTTAATTCTTACTTTTTAAACGAAGAAAAAATCAATGCCTAAAACAACTCTCAGAAAATGATGCACTAATTATAAAATTACTCTTTTATATGATAGTAACAAAGTTTAATTTAAAAAAAAACAACTCTGTTATGCTCTGCATCTTGACATACTCTATTATAAAAAAGAAAAGATGAATTGGCTACACTGAAGCTCCTTCCAAAATTTTGTAATCTACGATGAAAAAGCATCAACAGAGAGAAACAAAATAAAATTTCTGTTGCTTCTGAAAACAGCATATTTTTCACATAGGTGATGACATAAATCATCAAAAATTTTTTAGAAAAACGGTATACCAAATAAAAAATCATGTTGTCTATGACAGATCACATGTCAGGCTATCTTTCCATGTAATTATCTTAATTTTGATAATTTTTACGAAAATTGACATTTTTAAGGGCGGCTTTAAACTTGACTGAAAATGCAATGGTCATGATCATGATCGGTGTACCTGCTCACCTTGCATCCCTAATAGCAGCGCTGCATTGGTCTAGACATGTACATATAGAATAATGATGAATGGATGATAAAACATTGATGGTCTTAGATTCATTTCGACTTTTTTGGGATTGGGGAAGTTTATTTCAACAAAATAGTCGAGTTTTATAAAGCATGATTTAACCCTGAAAACTAACAAGAAAAACATCTAAATTGACGTCATCAGTTTGAGTTCATGTTGCGCCCACTAGGAGACCTCAGTAAAACTAGAATAAGTTCAAAATGGTTGATTCTCATGGATTTTTCAAACCGAATTATGATCATTTTACTGAATTTTTGATCCACCTTTTGATGCATGACGAAGAATCAGAAAGTAGAATTACGACCTGAAACTTAGTCCATAGATAGATCTAATGATCGGTAAAATTTCCTGAAAGTTTCACTCAACAAGAATTTTCAAGTAAACTCAATTTTTGTATCATACCTGCATCAAACGAATATTTATTGAAAATTTAATATCTCAACAAAAAAAAACATTCTTTTCAGCTGAAACTTTTAACATATTTTACGGATCATGCGACCTATATACCAACAGAATCTCACGTTGAGATATAGCTTTTGATTTTTTGTTATGTATCTAAAGATAGATTTGAAATTCAGTAAAATGATTCTAATTCAGCCGCAAAGGCCAGTACGGACGAACGCTTTTAGGCTTTTCCTAGTCTCACTGAGACCTTTCTTGTGTGCCGAATATGAAATCGAACGACAACTTCCACTTCGAAAACCAATAGTCTATTTTTGTAAAATTCAGCTATTTTCTTGAAAAGGTCTCCCAGACTAAATGTTTGAAATTAATTCAAGGCCATCATAGTTTTATCATGCGTTTATGTCTAGACCAGTGCATCGCCATTGTTATATACCTGAGTCAAACTATCAGCTTAAAAAGAAACATTCAATTATACACTTCGAGAGATCTAAATACTTCATGAAAAATATTTTGGTTTAAAAAAAATGTAGTTTTGGTTCCCCAAAAACACTACAGTAGATTAAGTTCTCTTGTTTGATGAAGAGAATACTTTAAATTTTTCTCTTTTTTCTGACACCTAGAAATAATTTTATTTCATTATATAAGGTGTTAATTGGGATAATACTGTACAGTATATGCATTGCATAGCCTGTCATGAGAAAAAAAACTAGTTGCATGTTTGTCCACTTTGTAACCTGAATCTATTTACTATCTTCTCTGAATTATACCTGTTCAAAACTTTGTACTGAAAAAACTAATAGATCATCGGATTAATGCAAATAAAAACAACAAAGGGTTCCGATCAGTTTACAATATCTTCATTATAATTAATTAGTCATTAATTATTCTTTTTTTATTTATCAATAACTTTTCTTCAAGTATTAAATCATCATAAATAAATATAATCTTCACTGTTTTTCATTATGTAATTGTAAATAAAAAAGAGAACAAACAAATGTTCCGTTTGTTTGTTTAGAAAGAAAAAAATGAAATAAAATAAAAGAGAAGAAATTTAAAACAAAAAAAAGAAACAGACACCGACAAAAACGAAACGATATCACACTTGTTCGTTTTTTTTCTTTTTCTTTGTTTATATTATCCGAAAGCACTATTTTGTATTTATATTATATATATATATATATATGCATGTTTGTGTATGTAAAATGATTTTGATTTTGCAAAAAAACAAAAAAAAAAATAAAATATAATAAAAATTTTCTTTGTTGTTTCGATACAAAATGGGACAAGAAAAAGAAAGAAAAATGAATGTTTCTATGAAATGTAAAATAGATTTTATAGGAAGTGATAAAGAACGAAAAAAGAAAAATAAATTATTTATACTATAGATTCCATCAAAGAGATAAACAAAACAAGAATATCTTCCATTCTCATTCACAGACAAACTATTCACTAGAATCGAAAGAAATCTCTCACGCGGGACATTCAATAGAGTAACTAATATATAGCAAAGAGAAACAAAGCTTTTTGTATTTTTGCCTTCTTTTAATATCTCAACGGACGGATGGAGAAAAATGAAATCTGACAGTAATGGTGGGAAAGAAAAAAAAAACAAAAATAACATGTTGAGTGTGCATTATAGAAAATGAAAAAAAATTTTTTTTGAAGAAAGATCAACAAAGAGAAAAGAAAGAAAAACACCATCACCACTACCACCACACATCACACTATAAGAAAGAAAGAAAAAAACACAATCGAAGATGAACAGTAATTGGTTGCTATTAGTCGATAATAGAATTAAGCTGAACACCACCAATATGTGGTAATTTCTGATGTCGATTGAGCTCATTTGTTGAAGGATATGTTTTTGATGATATATTATTAGTTGAATTATATAATTGTTGCTGTTGATGATGATTTGTATAGATTCCATTCGTACCACCCATACCACTGTTTAGTTGACCACCCATGGTACTTCTATCTCCATTTGATGTTTGTTGTTGTGTTTGTTGGGCGGCAAGTAAATGATGATGGCGAAGTACGGCTGATGGACGATTTGGTGGAGGAGCTTCAGATGGAGGTTTAGGTAAACGACGACGAAGCCAAGAATGTCTAAACAAAGAGAATTTTCGATATTTGTTTTCGAATATGGAAGAAAATGTTTAATGATTCACTATTGTTAAAATAACTATAAGCTTAAACTTTCGAGTAAAATTTCCTTAGAACAGATGAATAAAGAATTTTCAATCATGATAGATAAAGTAAAAGTTAATGATATTCATTAGATGAGTCGCATGATATCGAGTGCACGATTTACTGTTCGATGATTATTTAGATAAACAGAAATGAACAAATGAGTAATCATTCCGACAACCACAATGTAAGTGTGGATCTGATTGAAAAGAAGACAGTCTTCTACACTCATATCCTCATATGCGTACACTGTATATGGAAAGATGACATTCTCGAACGAAAAAAAAATATATATAAATTCTCCAAACTCAAACATATGAATTAGGGTTGATTTACTACAAAACGAAGAATTATTAGCATCGAGTGTAAGAATATGAGATAACATGGAAAATTCAGCTCCAAAATATCAGAAAAATAAAGTCATAACAGATGAATGTTTAATGATATTGTGTCAATGTTATGATGAAAGTCGTATTCATATGCGAAGGTTCTTCAAAAATGTTGGTCGGAGATATTGTCAATGTCAATCAGAAAGTTAAACAGTCATTTCTCTTTGTTTTCTTTTGTTATTTGTTCATATATTTATTGAAATTTTTTTATTGTGACAATTTGTTGATTGTCGCAAAGGCCACACATTTACTCATTTATCTTCGTCTAAATAATCAACGGATGGTAAATCATATGATATATCTAGAAAATTGGATATACGAAAAATAATTTGATCTAGGCTATGTGTCATCTCTAAGTAAATATTTCAGATTCAATTGTCTAGATACAATCCAGGATAAAAGTAGCTGCCCATCACGAAGTGCTATTATATTCTTCATGGTATTGAGTCGATATTTTGAATGCATGTGTACGACAATGAACTTTGATCGTAAGCATGAGAATGTGAAGTTTTTGGTTTAAATATTGACAGTGAGTCATCGACACAGAGTGCATTGATTATAGTGACATCCACACTCGTGGTAGCATATGCTTTAATGAACACTGATGCCAGTGTGTACTAACTAAACTGAAACTACACATCTCTACACAAGCACCAATGTACTCTCCATTGATTCACATATAATTTCTATCTTCTAATCACCTTATTTCTACTATATTAGTACAGATATTTTCGTTTAATATCGTAACTACCTTCAATTTGAATTTTGTTAGAAATAACTTTAAACTAATTGACATGTTGTCTTCTCATTAAGAATATTTATTGAGGAGTCACAACGTTTTTTTAGAAAGTTCCTATGAGATGATAAGTCTGTTCTGAGTTCACTATCTCAGGGTGTGTTAACTACTGAAATTTGGTCTATGTGTAGCAAGCTTTGGTAATAATAAAGTAGACATATGAAATTGCCTTTAGCACGAGAAAAGAGAAACATTATTAGCTTGTGGAATAGCAAAATGACAAACAAAAGGATTTTGAGTGCATATACTTCCTCTAAATATGTTGTTTTTCCAAAGGAAAGAGAATTTGTAAATTATAATTCCAGTACATATGATGACAGCACTTTATTAGAGGAAGCAGGTAGGCAACTTTTGTTCAAGACTGTATATGACAGTACTAGTATAGAAAAATGATTTTTAAATTATTTAATATAGTCTTACTTATTTTCACGTTACTGAAATCTTTTTATGTATCAAAAGTCATATTGAATATATTGTTAGTTTTACTTATATAGAAAATATTTGCTGCTTACCGTAAGGCTTGTGCTGGTGTTATTCTTGTTTGTGGATCCCATTCAAGACAACGTTTAAGAAAATCAATAAACAATGGATCATCACAATTTTTCAATGCTTGTGACCAATCTTTACTACCCGGTGGTCCACGATGTTTTCCACGTTTTGAACGACCTATACTCAAAAATATAAAAATAAAATAAAATAGTTTCTTGAATAAACATAATCTTATATTTACCGCCTTGTAAAACTGTTGTTCCATCGGGTAATGTTGTTACTGTACAATATCGTGGATGTCCTTTAGAACTAACAAAATTTCTTGCTCGTTTTGACGCATCAAGTACTTTTTGACTAGGCATTCCAACTAATTCAATGATACAACTCAATTGATCAGCTTCATCTTCACCAGGAAATAAAGGCATGCCAGTAAGTAATTCACTTAATATGCATCCAAGACTCCACATATCAATTGGTAAACCTATGTCAAATGTAATTCATTATAATTATATGTATATGTATATATATATATATGTGTCAAACCATATTTAGCTCCAAGAATAATTTCTGGTGCTCTATAAAATCTCGATTGAATATATGTATAAACACGTTGATGTTCAAAACAACTCGAACCAAAATCAATTACTATTGAAAAACAAAACAAATCAAAATTTTAATAAACATATAATAAACAATCTATACCTTTAATACCACTTCTACCTTGTTGTTTTAATAATATGTTTTCAGGCTTAAGATCTTAAGTATAATAATTTCAAAACTTTATATTTAAAAAAAGAATTTGTCTTTTCTTACCACAATGTATTATCTTATTTCGATATAATGCATCAAGACATTGTAATATACTATGTGCAAATTTTCTTACAAGTTGTAAACTAAAACCTTGAAAACGATTCTTTTTAATTAATCTATTGATAAAATGAAGAAAAAAAAAATTGTTAATAAATTTTTATAGAAATAAGATAAAAGTTTTTTTTTTTACTCATAAAGATTCATCGAAAGTAATTCAAATGTAATGCAAATATGATTTCGAAATTGGAACCATTCAAAAAGATGAATTACATTAAATGTATTATCACGATCTTGTTTACGTAAATGTTCAAGTATACGAATTTCTTCTTGAGCTTGTCGATGAAAACGTTTTTCATTACGAACTATTTTTAATGCAATTTGTTGACCTGTTTTATGATCATAACATTTTACAACAAGACCGAATGAACCTTTACCAAGAATTTTTAAAACTTCATAACCTAAAACAAAAGAAAAAGCTGTTAACATAATCTCTGCGGGATTCAAATATGAAGCACGATGTAGCTACTCTTGCTAATTGCAAAAAAATTGTTTTATTCTATCTATTTTGGGATATACTTACTCACCATCCTTTTACTTTATCGACTCGAAATGCAATACGAAAGTAGTTCGTTAATTAATAACGAGATGTTATTAATTAGTATATGGTCTGTGATCGAGTGTATTAGAGTTTACATCGACTTTATCAGAATCTAAATGAAACTCTCAGAGCTTGTAAGACTCGTGTCTATAAACGTATTTATGGGTTGAAAAAAAAATTTGAAAAACTTGCAAAATGAAGAGACAGGTTGGATTACCTAGTAAAAATGAACCTTGACTAGCTCTTCTGCTTCAACTGATAAAAGACTGAAAATTTTACCATAGATACTAGTCGTTGAGATGATCATTTTTCGTAACGGCTGTCTTTTTTCTCGTGTGGTCTTCTATCTGAGCTCAAGCATCTCTGCGAAATTCAAACAGAATTTCAACTCTTATCAATGCTATAGAATTGTCTAATTATCCTCTATATAAGCTGAAGCTCCCAGAACTGTAGCTTGTTTCTGGACCGAACGATAAACCCATCTTTGAGACCTACTTTCAATTTTTTTCCAACTTTACACCTTCTTCAAAAGAAAATCATAGGATTTTCAAAGCTTGTCCTATAGTGAAACTTCATTAGCACACCTAGCTCTATCACTTCTGATACTTTTGTCTTTGATCAAGACGATTTAACCGAGAAACGCCATCTTGTAGTTTTCTGGAGATAATGGCTGTTATCACTGTTATAAATATCCTACGAAACATTCAAGGTCATTTTTCTCGCCCGAACCAAATTCACCAAAAACGAACACTTCAGAAATAAATAGAACTACTTGTGCTAATGAAGTTCCACTTTAGGATAGGCTTTGAGAATCTCATGATGTTTCCTGACGGGAGTGCAGAATGGAAAAAACACTTCGAAAGTAGATTCCAAAGATGGTTTTGCCATTCGGTATAGGAACAAGCTACCGAACTGGAAATATTATCATTAGATAGAGGACGATTAGACAGTGCTAGAGCACTAATAAAAGCTAAAGTTTTGCTTGAAGTTCACTGAGATACTTAAGCTAGAAAACCAGAGCACATAAGAAAAAAAAATGTCTGCTACAAAAAATGATAAACCCAACGATTAGTATCTATAGTAAAAATTTTCAAACTTCTATCATTTGAAATAGAAGAGCTAGACAAAATCCGTATTGCTTGGATAATCTTATCTGTTTCATCCCCTTCAGGTTCCTTTGCAAAGGTCTCAAACTGTTCTTAACCTATATCTTTGCTTATAGATACGAGTTCCATATACTCTGAAAGTTTCATTTCATTCTAATAAAATTGATGTAAACTCTGGTACACTTTGGATAATAGTATCCGATCGACAATGTCTTCGACGGTCTGTAGGAGAAGTCTAAATTCTTCCTCTTTTACCACATCAACTGTTACTGATCGTGTTTCATAAAAGGCATTCTTTTGGATGGTAATAAATTAAAGCTTTTTTCCTCTAATAACTTACGATAGGCTATATGATCGTGTTGGACAGCAATATAAGAAGCGTTTTCATCGTCATAGTTACCTAAATAAATAATGGAGACCAATTAGTTCTGGTTAGCAATATTAATTCAAATACGAAATAGAAAAAATGGACTACGTAGATCAATATTTCTATTGATTCTGTTACTTTTTTCAAGCATGAGCCAATAAAAGAAAAATCACATTATAAGACTTCGGTTTATAAATGAAAATAAAATGGTTAATAGAATGCGATTCATTAGCTATATCAAACTATTATGATACTCGCGTGATTATTGTTTTTTAATCATAATCTCGATGATTCTCAAATATCATGCTAATGATGAAAGTCTAGCAAGTGACAAATTGTTTTTGAAAAGATGAGTCGTACTTCATCAGAAAATGACCTTATTATTATTGTTAAAGAAAGCCTAAAAACATTTGCATGTGTCAGTTGTTCATTCTTTTGATCTATAGTCAATTTAGTGAGTTTTTCAATAGACTGTTGTGAGTCCTTTTAATATTGATTTGTGGTTTCAAGTTTTGCACAAATAAAAATTTTTGATAGTAGAAATTTCTTATGAACGCATCAGATTTTTTTCAGAATAAAATATGCTAGAAAATTTGATATTTTCACCGTGAACTATCGTAGTTTCATTGAGAACTTTATTTGTACTATGTATGAACTCGAAAATCAATTTTGAAGATGGTCCAATTCGGACCACAGCATTCTTTTGAAAACTCATAGAAACGCCCATAACTCAAAAAGAAAAGATCTATGAATACAAATATTTTCAAGTTTTCTCAAGTATCAATCAAGATTGTCGATATGTTTGTAGGAGTTGGTGGGACTATAAATTCTCGCAGATATTACTTTCATTCTCGAAATACTAGAAGCCCATAGTGATAGTACTTCTCCTACAACAAATGGCTTGCCACCAGATCGTACCTCCTCCAATCCTGCTCATCTTATGACGTCAATGTCTGCTTATTCTACCGGAGAAATGCAAATGGTATTTGATAATCTAGTTTCTGTCTGAAGTTACTACGAAGTTGTAAAAAAATTGGCAAAACTTCGAACATTTAGGAAGAGAAAAGTCTCCTAATCAAGGACTATGACCTCGATACGGTTTATCTAATTAGTTACGACACTTATCAAAAGCAATTTATTACACAGCGGCATTCTTTCGTAAGAACAACATATACCTGCAATGATTAAAAAACAAAACTATAACTTATTAACAACATAAAATCTAATAATATTTTATTAATCGGTTTTAATAATAATGAACACATTAGAAATTCAAATTTATCCTTCTATGATCATTTTTGCAATCAATTCATATAACAATCATTCATTATTTTTATTCGTTTCGAAAACAAAATGCTAAAGTCCTGACCATATCTAATCACGGCAAACTTTGTCTATTTGAGTAATGACTACATACTCTAAACTCTGTTGGAAAAAGGAATATTGGAATAAAACAAAAAAAAAGAGAAAAAGAATAATAAAACATTTTTATTGACCACGCTACTTAAGATAACAAATTACTTTATTATGATTTTATATCTAAATAAATATATTCAAAGGCTCAATAAAAAAAGAAAGATCTTATGATGAAAAAAATTCTCCATGAAAATGTTCTTACCATTATTAGGTCCACCACCAACACCTTGTCGTTTACGTGCATTTTGTCCAACGAAATAAATTTGTGGATAAGAAAATATTTCATGTCGTTCATAAGCTGTCAATTTCGACATATATGTTTTCATAGCAGTATCAGGATCAAGTACATTTGTTGAACGTCGTTGTTGTGAGGATGAACGCATACTAAGCATACTATCGACACTCGGACTTTTACGCATTGATTGTTCGGATGTATTTTGTTGAACAGGTGCTTGAGATACACTATTACGATGATTATTATTATTATTATGATGATGATTATGATAGCCATTAGTTGTTCCATTGTTATTCACTGTTGTAGAATTTGCATTGGCAAGTGTAGACGAATCACCATGCTGTAGTTTATGTGATGCATATTGTGTTGTTGGATGATGTGATAGAGCGGCTAAAACTGGACTACTTTCATATAATTGTTGTACTTGTACGCCAGATTGACGTTGTTGACGAGCCCGTATTGGGGGAAGGCTCGTTTGTGATTGATAGTCATACATTGAATCACTTGTGTTCCCCGTATTAGCTATGAGAGTCGTAGTACTAATAACAAAAACTAAAATAGAAAGATAAAACGAAGTTAAACTTTTTGCAACGTCTTTCATTAGATTCATACAAGTCAAAATCAGCAGCAGATAGAAATATAGTGCGACATTTCTTACTGATTTTTTTCTTTCCTAGCTTTTTCCTTAACTACTTTTCTTTTATGCAACATAGCGTAAAATAAATTCTGTAACTTTCTTCTTTCTGATGGTTTTCTTTGAGCGTTGTCATCATATTACTAGTATGTTTTCTTTTCTTTCTTTTTACATTATTATTAAAAAAAAAAAGTCTTATAGAATTTCTTTTTCTTTTCTTTCGTCTTGATTACGAGTAAATTTTCTCGTCAATTCGTTTGTTTTTTAACATACCTGTTCAATAGTATTTAATTTTGTAAGAAAAATAGAATAATGTGTCAGTTTTGAAGCAAGGTCAACAGTCTACTGTTGTTTTTTTTTTTTCTTTTTGTTTGCATGTGTGTTGGAAATAAATACAAATCAACAAAAAAACTAAAAAAGGGAGAAAATGGAAGGGAGGGAGGAGAGAGAGATAGGTGAGAATTGCATTTGTAAAATGTGATTAAAAACAGCGACAACAACGACGCGTAACAGAACACGACACTTTCACTTTCTCTCTCTCTTTCGTTTTCTCAATTGAAAGTACATTTCTACAAACGATGAGTATGTTGAAATACAGGCAAAAAAAGAAAAAGAAAAGAGATTGATGAATAGAAACCACATACTGGCAGAGATGAAGAGGCAACGTATGTTCATCAAGGTCTTCCATGGTCCAGTCTCTCCTCATTTATTCATGACTTACATGGTAGCAGCATGTTTCTTTTCTTTTTCTTTTTCTTTTTCTTTTTTTAAAAAAAGAAAAAAAAAGAAGAAAAGAAAAGACAAAAGTATTCAGAGGTTTTTCAACATTCTGTAACAACAAAATTTCGTTCCCTCTCATGTGTCGTCTTATCTCAAAATTCTTTATTTTTCTTTTTTTATTTTCTTATACTGTTATTTTTTGTCAACAATAGCCTTCAAATTTCTTCCGAGAAGTGAAGTACTTAATAACAGCAAGGTTACTTTCAAGTATAGCAACACAAAGAAACAAAATATAAAATAAAAGAAAAAAAAACTTTCTTATTATAGATTTGTTCCTTTAGTATGAATTTGTATACTTAAGACAAATACGTCATTTTTTATATTATTACATAAAAGACTTTAATTATCGATTAAAATGAAGCAAAAAAAAGAAAGAAAATTTCAAAATTCATCAATAATATTGATTTAATAAAAAAAAACATAATAGAAGAAACGAAATGATTACCTACCCGCTTTCCTTTCCTCGATGTCGAGGATGAATGTAAATGGATGTAATCAAAGATTATATCCTCCTAATCGCTGATCATGATTATCCTTCAGTAACTAAATAAAAAAGAAAGAACGTCACCACTATCAGTAAATGCGCTGACGCAACTCAACAGTAGGAGTAGTGATTGTTGAGACATCATCGCTCATCGCTTGTTCAACAATTTCAACGTGCCAATTCAATAAACGCATGTACTCGGCTCACTATCGACAACGAACGATAGAGAGAAACAAACAATAAAATAAGATTAGTATACCAACATCTCAAAGTCGTCATCGTACTGAGTCAATAATACACAAAGGAAAAGAAAAATAACAATCATGATTTTTCTCTCCTAATTCTCTTTCAAATAAGCAATGAAATACAATATCAGATTACAATTTAGTTCTTTCTGAGAAGATTAATATGTTTTATTTCTTAAGAAAGTAATTAATATATTCGATAATTATGTTTTGAATTCTTATTAAGCTTATAATCGTTGAGACAAAATATTACATACCAGTTTTATTATTATTATTATTATTATTAAATCAAATTGTTCAATATGTAATAATTAGTTATTGATGCATTTCACATAAATGAAAGAGATTAATCGACTTCTTTTTTTAGTATTAATTGTTAAATTTATTGATGCCACAATTTACAACTAGTTACATAGAAGAATACACAAATATACTAGTAATCTAGAGAAAAAAAAATAAGAAAAACAGAAATTCTTTTGTTTTATTTGTAAAATAAATAGCCTAAAATAATAATAGAGAAATAAAGAAAAAGAAAATGTTTGATTTGTATGCTTAAATGACAAAAAAATGTTACAGATGCTTCTATGATGGCCATTATTCAACTGGTAACTGTGTACACCAAAAGAGGTTTTATTCTTTCTTTTTTTTTTTTTTTTTACTTTGATACAATAGTGGCATCTCGAACAAAATTTGCAACAATGATGTCTAGCGCCATCATGCTTACTATAGAAATTTTACTTTTCATAAAGACACAATGCATTCTAAGCAGCGGTTGTACAAAGAGATCAAAGCAGGAGGGGATGATACCTTTGAAAAATCAGCGAACAGACCTTGACCAATGCATTGGTGCTCTGAGGCAATTGGTGGTGTATTGTAGGTTTTTTTATGCAGTGAAAAATACTCAAAAATGTTGTCACTTTCAACCGAGTTTTTTTTTACACTCAAGTTAAACATTGAAACAAGTTTATAAATTTATATAGAACTTAAAATTGTCATTTGCTGTGTAGCAAACATTAGTTTAGACTCATTAAAAAATTCTATTTTTCATTGTCAAATTTTTCTAGAAGACACTTTTTCGTATTTAGGTCAGAAAAGTTTCTCAATCTTTTCTGTCGCTAGAGGCGACCACGCTCGCAACAACTGTCAACAAATGCGATGACTAATGTATTTCATTAGAAACTCATGCTCGTACTATGTTTTCTAAAAAGCGACAACTTTGATTTTACATTTGAAAGTTCCAACCGTTAAATAAATCATGAAGTCAGTTCTGCTTTTATAACAATATTTTTAAATCTTTTCAAATTTAATAATTATCGACAAGGTTAATAAAACTGTCGTAGTTAATTGAGAACTTTGAATGAATGACTCTGAATTTCGCTGCCAAAAAAAAATTCAGATACTTCAAAATACCTCGACTTGTCATAGTTCAGATAGGTCAGAAAACTGTATTTTGTCATTAAAACCAGAATGTATTGTCGAAAATTACCGTTCGTCACACCTAAATGTCCCTGTTGAAGCAGAAAATAGCAAAACATTGACCTTCATAAACAACATCGACACGTTATTATATATGTGTTAGATATGTATAATACCGTTTCGTTGCCAATATGTGAAGGTCATTTTCTTGCTATTTTCTATTTCAAAACAACGTTTAGATGTGATATATGATAATTTTGAACAATACATACTAGTTGTAGTGACAAAATATCATTTTCTGATTTATCTAGGAGCAATTAACGAAGTTTTTCGATAATTTCATTTCTTATTTCATCAATGAAATAGTTCCATTAGATAAAGTCTTCATAAAAACGGAGAAAATTATAACATAAATCTAGCGAAAACAAACGAAAAAATCGCTTACAAGCTCTAGTTATTTGAAGAAAATAAAGAGATGATCGTTGACATAAGATGTAAGAAAGGTACAGCTTAAATCTTCGCAAATCGAAGAAAATTGCAGACAAATTTTCAAAATCCGAAGGCAATACTGCAATTCCGCTTATACCTTCTCAGATTCGATATCTTCTCTCCAACTTTCGATTTTTGTCGAAGTTTTGATAGAAAGATGAAAAGAAGAATCTTTCTAGATAGCATTTTTTCTCATGGAAAAACTCTTCTTGACTTTTAAACATGAAATATGGATTAGAATGACTCATCGCTTAGTTTTTCTGAATGATGAATATTGTAGATATCTTTAATCATATGTATATAAATGGGATTCAAAATAAATTTCAATCTATCGATACAAATTTCTGAAGAATCAGTCTTATTTTATCAAAATTACTCAAAGAAAATCTGACATGATTTTATATTGTTAAGAAAAAAATATTACTGATAGTTTTCTTTCAAACCTTTTATATAAACATTTTACAAAAACTCTGAGAATTGAGAATTTTCATCATTAGAAAAAGCAAAATTAACACAACATCAGTCAATGAGTAATTGGAAACAACAAGCATAATTTCTCTGCTTCAAAGTTTCAAACCGAAACGAGCAATATCTATACGATGGTCAACTTGTTCAGACTTACGCTCGTGAAAGTTTTCTGTCTACTAATAATGGTAATGTATCAATTCTATTCATTAATTGTTCTAGTTGTTCAAAAAAGAACTAGTCAATATATTCGGTTATCAAAACGGAACAAGTTCATAGAGTTGGGAACTATCACATGTCTCAAACTTACCCATTCGAACAATTTAGTTCTTTTTGTAAAGAATTGAATGATTGATGCCAGTCCAGACCCTCGACCGCGTTCTGTCACAAATTAATTCGCACTATAGTATGATTGTTATTTTAACGCATATTTTAGAAAAGTGCCAAAATACAAAGTGGTTTTTTCTCAGTCACAAGTAAATGTTGCATACAAATGTTGTTTTTAATCAGTCGATCTAAGTTGGCGTATGACAAAAGTATTTTCTCAATTAAACAATAAAAGATCAAAAGTGTTATTTTATGACATTCAGTTGATAAAGTATCAATGTTAAACATACAGCAAATACCAACTGTTTTCAATAAGGCTTATATTAAATTTTCTTCCGCTATCATTAACGTTAGAAAGAATTCAAATAGTTGTTCGAATAGAGAAAATTATTTCCAATAAGAACATAAGGAAATAAAAACTATTATCAGACTCTCATAGAGAGGGAATACAAAAATCCAAACCTTAGCTTTTCAATACCTAGAGTACGTAAATATAATTTTGTTTAAACTACATAGAACGGCAGAGCAAACAATTCTCTATAAAATGAGATGCCTCTGAGTTTTCTCCGGGATTTTTTAGTTGAAACACAGTAATCTTACGGAAGCACCGAACGTCGTTTTTTTCAACTTCCTTTAGACAAACTATTTTTTGACCT